AACACATGGGTCGCCACCACTCGGAGAACAAGCAACGCTTCTGTCAGAAGTTCATGCTGACGTCCATTGTTACTTTGTTACAGACTGGGTGTCCACTCATCTCACTTACGGTTTGTGTATGGGTTCTGGGTGGGGCTTATGGGTTATGAGGGATCACATGCTTCCCTCACCAGCACCCAAAAATTAATTTTCTTACCTATTGGTCAACAGTGGGATAGGCCTACGCAACATGATCGGTTGGAGGGACTACCTAACAACGACAGGTTTTTAGATTATGACGGCTCGCCCACAACGCCAGGGGCCAATGCACAATTTATGCAGAGATGCCAACCAGTACGATTTTTGGCCGAAAATACGCGAATACGACTTTTCATGAAAAAATACGCATCCTGGAATGCGAAAACTACGAGATTCAGCTTGGGCGAGTAAACCAAATTATCTCAGGTCCCATCTTTTGTCAAAATAGTATCCGTATCGCAGAACTGGAATATTTGAAAACCAAGTCCGATGTGGTCAGTAAGTTCATTTTTGCCGGTCGCGATCATGATATTATATTCATTCAGCTTTTCCCCGTCTGGAGAGTACGTTTCACTTTCACGCGAAAAGGCAGCTATGGCGGCAGGCGGAAGCGTATGTGACACCGAAGCTCGATCGGGAAAATCAAGATCTACTTTCGCTTTCGTTACCACCGAGAAGTTTGCCAGCAGTTGTCTGATAACGCAACATTTGTGGCATGCAGGTTGTGCAGTATAAACACAATGTCGCCGTGCAAATAAAATATAATAAATACTCTGACTCGTCGCTGTGCTGTCACTTGTGGAAAAAAAAAAGAAAAGAAAATACAACTGTCGTCAGATTTTTAGATTCGTCTGGCTCGCCATCGTGACCGCTGACCGGTCACTGACCCTGCGTGCATTCGCGTCACAAATAAATGCGGCATCGTGTGAGAAAACACCTTGTTTGGTGGGAGTAACGGCGTTGCGAAGTATAGGACTACGGAATAGGGGAGGAGATTATTGATTTTTTTTTTGGTGGGTGTAAGATACTATCGGGGGTTTAAGGCAACACCAGAGGACAAAAACTTGGAAGCAATTTTCAGAATTTTGATTAGAGCTTTCTGCAAAGCGCGCGTTGATGCAGGCCATGTGCGGAATCGGGACCCCTCATACTTAAGCAAGTCTGTGTTATTGAAATAAAGTGTTCGCGTTTCATTGGATGGGTGATTGTAAATTATACCTACTTCAACTACTTGGATGGGTGATAGTAAATTATACCTACTTCAACTACTTGGATGGGTGATAGTAAATTATACCTACTTCAACTGCTTGGATGGGTGATAGTAAATTATACCTACAGTGTATGTTGTAGCTTTCTGTTCAAGACTGGCAGATTTTCAGTGTCACTGCATCTTGCCCTACCACAGTTTTTACAACTCTCACAGTGCATGGGTCTACTTGAGCCATTCAAGTTATTGCTTTTCTCTGAGTTTGAGCAATAATTTGAGTCTGTCAGTTCATAATATGAATCATGACACCCAGACTGGTTCTTGATAGTCGAAATTCTTGTTCTAGGCCCTTCCGAACTCTCAAAGCAGGATTTATTTTTTATATAATAATGAGAGGAAAATATTTAATAGACTGAAATACTTAAGTCAAACAAGACCCCAGTACGACACTGAACACTGACATGTTATTGACTGGATACATGTATATTGTACGCGTGTGTGCTCCCTTTTTTGAGCTGGTGAGCTAGTAATTTTTTTTCGGGAAATATTGCTGGACACCCTGAACATTTTAGTATTACTGGTTGTTCGGTCGGTCGTGGGGAATACACATTTTCACCTGAAAATACACATTTTCATATTTCCCAATACTCATTTCGGTTTTCTGTGGTTGGCATCTCTGATTTATGACAAAACGTAATGGAGTCACTAAGGTGGCTGTCTAAGACAGGTGTTATTGCTTGGTGTGATAAGGGTTGTGTGTTGAAATATGGTGGCCGCGGCCGCGTTTGACAGGTGCCCGTTTTACACAGTTAAATTATATAGAAAAAACGCAAGGGGGGGAAATGGAAAGTGTCCGTTTGTACAGGTGGCTGTCTTAACTAGGTGGCCATCAGGGCAGGTTCGACTGTATATACATGTGTCTATTAGCATGGGCATTACATACATGACCTATGGGAAGAAAATTTAATCAGGCAAATTTCTGAAAATTATAATTACATTTGTACTGTACTTTAAAAGAATGTTTATGAAAATTGAAATGAATTTATGTCAGAATCAACTATTCTTCAGAATTTACTTTACTTATTGCATATTGTTGTTTCTTTGATCAGGGGCTGTGACGAGTCTGCGAGAGGCTGGACAGACAGAAGTTGCAGTTGATTCATGTGGTGATGCGGAAGGTAAATTCTTAGCAGTTATAATTATGAGTTTGTAAAATGTATGGTATCATGGGAAAGGGGGGGGGGGCGGCTGAAATAAGGAGTTATTGTAAAGTCATGTGAGCCTTCAGAGGAATACATGACTTAAGTTAATCAATTTTACCTCAGTCTGAAATTGTGTTGATGGGAGCATAATGTATTTACATTAATTTTTTTTAGTCTGTCACCACAATTCTGTCGAAATTGAATTTAGTTAGCTAAATTTTTTATAGACTTTGAAAAAAAAAAAGATTTGGTGAAATATCGTAAACATCTTTGAATAGAATGCTACAGTGTCTATCATTTCCTTTAACTCACTCAATCCTGATAGTTTTTCCCGAAAATACACCCAGCAACCGGTCATTTTGGCACTTATGTAAGGGCCCACTAGTAACATCCAATTGCTTTGAAATTTGACACAAAGTACAACTTAAGATGGAATTTTACACATACTAAATTTGAAGTATGTAGCTATAGTAGTTTTGTTTTGGGGTGTTGTACAAATTTGGCATTGGGGGGGGGGGTTCATGGCGGAATGAGCAAAGAGCAAGCCTACATTGTTATTCAAATATGCTTATGGGTGTCTATATTTTGTGTGTCATGTATAATAAAGACTGTTGAGTACTTTTATGAATAAAAAAATGTATGTGTGAGAAAGGCAGAGAGAATTGATTTCGAGACGTGCTCAGCTGATCAGTGTGAACAAACGTGCTGAAAATAAAAACCACAATTTCTCTGTGTGTAATAGCAGCAGAAACAAAATTCCATCACCCCTCTAGGCAGAATTGGCCGGGAGAAAAAATAAAATTACCTTATATTAAAATTGAAGATGTTTTCCAAAATGTAATAACTAGTATACAGAACAAAACTATAGGACCGGGTTATCTCGGTCGTGGGATTGAACACAGCCCGAGAGCTGACAGAGATGGGTCACGGGATTGAGTGAGTTAATGCTGTACTTGAATGACTTTTGCAATTTAATACTTTTTCTTTTTCAAACATGGTAGCTGCTGCTGAAGGCTGCACTCTCTCACTGTTCTCATTTGATGAACTTAAACAAGAGGATAAGAGACAGACTGCTGTGAATGTCAATGTCTTTACTGCAGGAGCTGATGACATGTAAGTCTAATACATTTTCTTGTTCCTGAAATTTTCTGATTTTTTAAATGTAGTATAGCTGTCTTCACCTCCTACTTTACAGCAAGATATGACAAACATATAAATATTCTCTTACTGTCATATTCATGGCTGATAACTATCTATATAAAAATTGAACATAAATAAAGATGTATTAAAAGTAAGTATAAACGTATTGTACTACTTTCTCATCTTAGCTCCCTCACTTCATCAACAAATCAATGATATACTTCTTTTTCTATCATTTTTCTTGCAATAGATGTGTCCTACACTTAATCATACTTTAACGTTTTAGCTTCCACTGTGCTGTATTTCCTTTACTACCCTCCCATGTTGTTCATAAAGAATCTTTCACTATATATACGCAAATATACTTTTTTAAAAATGTTTTTTTTCTTCAGAGCCAATGCTGATGCTTCATGGTCAAAAGGCGTTGCGCTGGCTGAGGGCCAGAATTTTGCTCGCCGCCTGAAAGAAAACCCTGCCAATAAAATGACTCCTACTATCTTCTGTGAGGAAGTGGTGAAAAATCTGGGGTCAATCCCCAATGTCAAGATAACCATCCAGTTAGTGCAAAGTTTCATAACTCACTTTGTAAATAATCATTTTCTGTTAAACAGAGTTTTGATTTGGATGCTGAAGTCCTGAATGTCTTATCTACATTTAATTGTTGAATTTGTATTAATGACTAAAACAGATGTAGTAAATAATAAGTGACATATTCAAGAGGCGTCAAATAAATATTAAATCTCATTTCCCTTGCCTTCATGAATAGATTGGGGACTTGTCCTTACAAGATCTTTATGAACTAACCTTTATTGATCTCCTTTCAGAAACTGAGTGCCAGCCAAAAAGCTGGCTGTGTTTGTACTTTTGTAGTAGGCTTCGTTCAATGCAGTCCCTGTCTAATATTTTGAAATGCTACATTTCCCTTAAACTAATGTTCACATAGCTCTAGTTTTGTACGTGGCTGTCTTTCTGTAACACATTCTGGAAACTGTCCCTGATTGTACTGCTGTATTAGTTTTGAGCAATTTTGGAAATGAACGGTTTTAACTCAGATTAAATCACAAGGGAATCCTGAAATTTGAGAAGTATTTATCAATTTTGCAGCTTTTTGGTTGACATCACATGGTAGAAATGTTTAATTATGTTTCAGCTGGGAGAGGCAAATATTTTTCAGTGGTAGCTTTATTGCACTCTTTCATGTCTAAATGATAATGCATTGTAAATTGATATGACCCTTATTTTATCATTTTCAGTGGCAAAGAGTGGGCTGAGTCAAAGAAAATGGGAGCCTTTTTGTCTGTATCTCAAGGTTCGGCTGAGCCTCTGAAATTTTTAGAGATAGACTATGATGGCGGAAAGTCTGGAGACCCACCTGTTGTCTTTGTTGGGAAAGGAATCACCTTTGACAGGTACCATGAGGCTACAATCTATATTAAGCAATGGTGTCACTGAAATTGAACTTTTAATTGTGTAGATTTGTTTTTCATTATGCTGCACTGGTTTTATCCTTTTTTACTTTGGCTATGAGTAAGTTTAAAATAAATGAACGTTTTTTTAAAGCGTTGATGATTTTGTATTGTAAAGCTCTTATCTCGAATGATAGACAGTGCACACCATTCATTAATACAAATGTCATTGCTTTTGGGAGCTTATTATGAATTTCATTCTCTTTTTCGTTCTGTAAGTACCAGATGTTTTTGGAAACTATAGAACTGCATGCATTCATTTTGCAGTTTGACCATTTAGAGCAAGGTCAAAGTTTAGATTGAACTGTGAAATTTAATGTGTTCAAAACCTGATATTGTGGGGTGTGATATGCTCTGTGTGTGGATGTTACCTGCTCAATGAGTATTTATGTGTTTGTTTATAATGTGTTTTGAATGTGTAGATGTGTGAATCTGCTCGTTTGAGGCGGGTCCCAGGTGGCGGATAGGGAACGGCCACTGTAATGGAGGTTTGCTGTGAATATGTTGAATAAGCCGCCCCGGACCAACTGTCGATGCTCTTACCAGGATGGGGTGAGGTGGTAGGTGGTGCTACCACGTCATTAAATGCCTTAGGAGTCCTCTGACGGAAGCATCATGCGGAAAAGGACCGCATTAAATCCTGGCTACGGATGGAATCCGGTAACAATTCCTCCCTGTGCTCCCAGGGTAGGTCCTTGGACCTGGAGCTGGAGTGCTGAAATCGGAGGTTTTGGGCCGCAAGGCGCACTCTAGAGAACCACAATACCACGTAATACTGCAATAAATGACACTTGAAGTAGGAGTTTTGTTTATTTCACATATTTACTGAATTATTCAGTTTGTTCGCTGCTCAAGTCATTTAAAGTTTGTTTCCTGTGTAGATAGACAAAATCTAGCCTCTGTTATGGTGTATTTATTTCTTAAATTGCTTGTCTTCTAGTGGTGGTATCTCTATCAAGCCGTCTGCTGAGATGGACAAGATGAGGGCAGACATGGGAGGGGCAGCCTGTGTGGTCAGCAGTATACAAGCTGCTGCCTCTTTGGCTATTCCTATCAACGTGAAGGGTAAGCACATAATGGCTTGCTTCAATGCTTGTCTGATATTTACGACTTCTGTTATGCTTCTGTATACCTAAATTTAGTTGTCTGTAAGTTAAAGTAATTCAGGGCGTTCCGTTAGCTCAGTTGGTATCATGCATTCTTGAATTGGGATCATTTTGTGAAGTTTTCAAGGCTCTCAACCGATTTGGTTCGATTCTGTCAGAGACGGACTTTAAATTCGGAGGCCTGGCGTCTTGAATAACCTAATAGTGTTGATAGAGAGGTTACACCCATACACTTACTTACTAAGATGAGTACAGTTTGGCTGCTTGTTTGTTTTTATTAGCCAGTATAATCAATTTTCTTCTATCTGTCAGCAGTTTAATTCATCAAGACAGTCTAATTTTTTTTGCTTATTCAGAGCCATTTTCTTCTCTAAAACAGGTCTTGTACCTCTTTGCGAGAATATGCCAGGCGGAAAAGCTACTAAACCTGGTGATGTGGTGACTGCAATGAATGGAAAAACAATTCAGGTGAGGTGTAGATTTCATTTCTATTGTTTGTATAAAGTTATTGAAAGAGCCTAGCAGGTATTGTTGAAATAATGTTGCCTTGGCTGCAAGATTATTTATTGTCTGCCTTTGGTTCTAACATATTTTTTCAGAATCAACCTGAAAACTTTTTTTTTTAAATTCTTTACCAAGACATCTTTGCCTTTCTCTTTTACCAGCTTTCTGATTGTAGCTCTTTGTTTTGTTTGCCAGAGTACAGAATTTCCCCGTTCTTTTTGGTTATCACTTGAGTAAACGAGTTTCTATGTATGTGGTTAACAATATAGGTTTTTGGATGTGCTGCATTAGCATACTGTTTGATACCAGTTATTAGATTTGAATGAGAAGAATATTTGATTTTGTATACAGGGTCTTCTTTTGCTCCAGTTTGTTACCTTTATGGATAGAAATCCTTTTCGTTGTGGTAGCGTTGTCGTATATTCATACAAGTCTTCCTTTCATTTCTCTTCAGGTCGACAATACAGATGCTGAAGGCAGATTGATCCTGGCCGATGCGTTGTGCTATGCTGAAACATTCAATCCACGTCTAATTCTTGATATTGCAACTTTAACAGGTAGATAAATTTCATAAAAATGCACAGTTTCATTGTTAATGGGGTTTTTTTTAAAAAGATTCTTTGCTGTTTAATTTTATCAAAGAGAACTTGAAAAGAAGAGCTATTTGCTGACAAAAGAGTAAGCTTTTGTGTAAAAATTTGTCTTCTTCTGTGGGAGTGCCAGTTCTCTTTAATTGACTCCTTATCTCTGGCAAGCCGCTCCCAGCTGCTCAC